CTGTGCCCTAGGCTGAACACAAAGAGCTGCTTGCCCAAAACTGTTGTATTTAGCTTTCTTTAATCCATCAGTCTCAAAAGTGTGAGCGGAGCAACACAATCGCCCGCCTATCCGTATTTCGTGTTCGTAGTTGGTATCAGAAGGAGTAAGCACATAAGGATGCTGATAAAGCCAGGGTTACTTGCCGTTTTGGGGGGTAATATATGAAGGAAGGATTATTTTTGGAAAATTTCTCGCCGTAGATGCGTAAATGCACGGCTCATTCTTTCTGCACGGACCAATAGTGATTCTTCGGTATCGGAAATAGACGTCACAATCGGTTTGCTTCTCTGAACACCCTCATCCTGGAGGCGAGTACCTTCAACAACAATTGAACGCAGTACATGACAAACAGGCAACCAACCGACCCCTAGGAAATCGTTTCTGGTGACGAGCACGTAGAGCTGATCAAAAGATACGGTTAGACAGTCGCTGTAGGACAGTCGATTCGGAGAAATCTTAACAAATCCGGTGATTCTGCCAGTACCCTATCATGTCAACGTTGCTTCGCTTACACCCGAATTTCGCTTTTCACCTCTCGGTTATAGAGGCAACCACCACAAATGAGTGTGCTTATTCGCTCAGAAGAGTTAACGATCAACACAAAACTGCAAACAAGGAGTGAATACAACAGCTTGAAAAGCAGAACAATGAACAGTAAACTGGCGAAGGTACCATTAACAGCAAAACGGGACTATTTGAGGGGAGTGACACTTACCTTGGTTTCCCGAGCCTGTCTAGCGGTCTCCAGTTCTGCAAACATCTGCAAGAAGTCTTCTTCCAGGGCAGCAAGTTTGCCTTCGCTGAAAAATGCACAAAACACCGTAAAGATGAGTCAGGTTAAATTAAAACTGGTCAAGATTGGGGGTTATCACAAGGTTTAGTGCGGAGCAAATTGCAGTAGGTCCGCGAATTGGGCTCGCACGGGTAAGAGAAGTACTAGCTAAAAGCCCAGACACGCCGCTGCATAGGATCCGCCTCATCGGTGGGTATCAGTGACTGATGGACTTTGGCCCAAATATTAACATCTAAATTCGGTCTGGGTGCCTATAGACTTTGAATATACTGATCTACAGCAAGTTCAACAATTAATTTTTAAGAAAAAAAAAACAAGTGAAAGTCCTGGTTTCGAAGGAGCAATCAGCTCTCGGTGTAAAAGTATCATGGGGACACGGCAAAAAAAAATACGGATAGGTGAAATGGCCGTGCGGAGTCGCCAGTCAATGGCCACTTGCCACCTGGGGGTGAAGAAGAGGTGATTTCTCCAAAATTACAAGAAAGAAGGCCTCGTATTTATTGGATCTGCCATCTCACATGAATGTGTTCGGAAACACATTGTGTGGGACATTATCTATGTTTACATTATCGGCAATGGGTCACCGACAGTATTCAATTTCAACTCTTCAGCGTCAGGTTTCAACCTAGAAACACGAGGACAGGTTGCCCAAAAAGGGACGGATCAG